AAAATTATCGTGTTTTAAATTATGTGCCGATATTTTTTTGACCAATTGTGTATAATATTTGTACACTGGTTAAAGTCCTTTGTGTAGTTTGGCGCAACTAGTTTATTACGTAAGCGCGATAATCTCAAAGTTCTCTTCTAACTGATTACAAGATGCCACTTAGGCATGTTTGTCTCTTTGATTATACGTTGTATCGAGATTACATTCGATATTGTTATTGTTACAATTATCGAATACATTTCGTAGAATCTTGGTGACTAAAAAAAAAAAAAAGAAAAAAAAAAAAAAAGAAAAAACGTATTCATGTATTTATAAATATTCGTAGCTTTAATTTATACACAATTTATTTTATAAATAAAGAAATAGTAAATTAAGCAAAAAAATATCTATTGGTTATTTCGAACGGGATACGCTTCATCGATTTCAATGGCCTTGAAATATGTTTTCAAGGTCAATCGACGATCCATGATCGTGAATAATTTCGTTTATATATGCATTTAATTATCATTCGATTTTAATTTTCACCATGTATCATCTAAAATTATTCATTCCGCTGTATATTAAATATAATCTTGTTTATTGTAAGAATATATATGCGTGAGATTTTTAGAATATATTTTGGCATCCTCCATTTGGTATCCTTTAATTCGATCAATAGCAAATCGTTATAAAATGAAATCCTTCTCTAAAAATCATTCGATGAATTTGTTATCAATTGAAGATAATGGATGAAAAATATGGACTAGAGTTTGTTACTCTAAAATTATTTATCCAAAATTTACGTTCTCTTAAAAATACACGACGCGTATTAGAAATAAAATTTTTATACACGCACGCGTATGAAATTTATTGGAAAATTTGAAAAGTGCGGGAAAAAACGAATAGAAGAAAAACGAGTCGAATTCGATACGATATATAAATAATGTTGGATAAACGAGTGATCGAAGATTCGGTAAAAATGGATTGATCGGCGTAACGTGATTGATAGAAGATCTAATAGTAGGTATAATTCGTGACAAGTTATTGGAATAGCGAGGTTATTCTATAACTGCAACGATCCTCGTGGTAATGGTAATGGCGCGATGGAAGCGTGGAACAGTGGTAGTGGTGGGCGGTAGTATTGGTGAGAGATAGAGAGGTGTGGAAGGTTTGGGAAGGGGTAACGGTCGATTCAGTGCGAGGCGGGCGGTCAGAGCCGATGCAGTGGAAGGATACGACGACGATGATCGTACGGCACGAGTTGCTCGCATTGTTTGATTCGTCAAAAAGTCGGAAAGGAAAATTAGAGCGATTCGAGAGGATTCGAAACATGAGGAAGAAGGGATTTGGTCGAAAGAGCTGTTATCGCTGCTATTGTCGTTGTTCCGATAATCGTTCTTGTCATCGGATCACGTTTCGTTCGAGCACAAAGAGACAGACAAGTCCGGAAGTTTTCTTGGAAAGTGTCGTGGCAAAAATATCATCTATCGGTTACGATTACCATGTCGTCGTTGCCGTCGACAATTGCTAAAGATAAGAATAACAATTTCGAAACAACGTTGAATATAATTACGTTGCGATAAATCGTTCAAATCGATTGGTTATCTTTGAATTTCGGTTGGGAAAAAACTCGAGAATTTAAAAAGTCCGACGTACGAGTAATCGATTCGGTGTGTTGATCGAACGGTACACGCGAACGGGCAATTTAGAAGATCGTTGCAATTCGATGTTCCGATTTGTTGCACGTTAGTCGTATTTAACCGTTGCTGTTATTACATTATTCGGTAAGATATTTCGAGTGTTTATCGCGTATCGTTATCGCGATGAATCAGCGAATCGTTAAATAATCTTCGCGATATAACTTTTTTTTTTTTTTTTTTCTTAAAAATTTTAAGGAAAAAAATTCGTCGTTGAAAAACGAATAATTTAAAATCGTGATAATTAAAATCGATCGAAAATTAATCGAAGCAAGCGGGACAAAAATGTTGCAACGATAGTATCGAAAGGATGCAAAAAAAATGCGTAAAGAGAGATTTCACGAAATCGATCATTTTTTTTTAATATAGCTCGATCATCGACTCGATTCGAGGAAATAATAACTGGAAGAGAATAATGATAATTCGGGTACGAGTACACACGATCCCCATCGCGTTTACGAACGAAAAGTCGTTACGAGGTAAACGACGAGGATCGGTCCGAGCGATGGCGGGGAAAAAAAGTTGTTTGTTGGAACGAGAAACGATAATAAGCGACCAAGTTTTCGAGTGTCGTAAACTGGCGAACGAAAGAGCGAACAAAGGGACGGGACGCGAATGGAAAATTTACGATGCGATCGTGCTTTGTCTTCGACTTACCAAATATTCGCCTACTCTTCTCTGCGCGTGGTATGTACGTGGAATATACTTGTGTAATTTCTCTCTCTCTCTCTCTTTTTTTTTTTTCTTTTTGCTCTCGATCCTCATCATCGTGGCTTCCACGATTACGAAACA